AAATAGGGGACGTGTGCAGCCAGCATATAGGTGCCAAATCGCTGACAGGATTTTGGGCTGGGTGCTCCACAGTCGAGCTGCGTAATACATGCTGCCTGGCAAATAAGTTACTTATGACTTGTAGTCTGTCTCTCATTCTTCAAAGTAGGTTGAACGGTTTTTCGGGACTCCGACAGTTAAACTCCATCCGATGGTAGGCGTATTTTGTCTTGACGATTTTCCACTGTCTACAACGTGTCACAAGGAATGCTTTTGGAATTAACATTCAAAAGGCTATTATTCTGGTATATTGCAGAGTTTCATTTGACTAAAGTCAAGCTATGATTCTCAACTCGCAAAAAAGAAAAAGCTAAAGGAGGTTGGTATACTTCCCCTATTGAAAATAAGACGACTCGATCGCTGGGACAGTACTTTTATTCGCCTGACGTTTCGAGATCCGTCGCGGATTCATAATCAGAGACATACGCAGAAAGCAGTAGCAGATACGGGTAGCAGATGCACAGGAGTTTGCAGTATTTATAGAATACAGACAAGCAAGCAATTCATGAAGCGGCAGTGTAGAACAAATTCAGCAAACTGCACATCGTACTACGTGCATCTGAGTGTCATGTGCACACACGAGGAATAGTGTAAGGTTCGAAGGGTCATGGTCAACATTAACGAACGGGCGTGCCTGTCTTTAGAGGTCTTTTTTGCCTTTGACTTATAACAATAACCTACTTTTACCGTCTCAGTAACCCGAATTTCCCTTTTTTGTTAAATTCAGCCAATATAAGGTCGAATTTCCCTTTTTTGTTAAATTCCGCCAGTCTAAGGTTGAATTTTCCTCAATTGGCATCGGTATCCTGAGCAACAGGAGTCTATGTTGATAGATTTGATTCAATTTAGTACACTGAAACAAATATAACTTTCTTAAATTTAATATTTGTTGATCACTTCCACCACAATTAAATACTGAATTACATTCACTGACAAAAAATTAAAGGTTTGACCCCAAAATACGTTAGACAGTTGGGCGAAGGGAATATATATTTAGGGAGTCCTACAAGACAGTTTTGCCGACAAACGTTTCTGGACACTTTCTAGGTTGCGTGGCCCGCGGACTATGTCGTAGGCTTCAGGGCCAATGTCAAAAACGGGAACTGAATCTGTGTCCGAGAGAATGGACTCTAAATGGCGACCGGACACGATGACCCGGAATCCCAGGGCATCACATGTTAACGTAAGTCGTGTTATTTGATTTATTAGCAAAATTAGTATTACTTTTATTCATCAGTAGACATTTGTAATATATACTAAGAAAAGTAGACCCAACACATCTCGGTCCCTTCGGGGAAAAAAACATGTCTAAGGTGATGCACATTTATTGCAAAAGTTAGAACCATTTTAAGGCCGGAAAAGATTAAAATAATTGTAACTTACAAACGAAATCTCCATAAACCCCTCAGAAGGATTCTATACGCACGCGCAAAGTCTCACTGCGAGCGGAACCTAAAAATAGGGTAGATGTAAGAGTTTGGCCTGCACTACATAGCACGAGGAATTATATATTTATGTACACCACATAAAAAAGGCAGAATTTGGTCATGAGCAACTAAGTAACTGAATCGGCGACAATATTTCCTTCGGAGCTTAGTGATGAACAGTTCTTCTGTTGACTGACAGGTTATCTTTAATCGTTCATCTTTTACACGCGATAGGCTAAGCTACAAGATTCCGTTAGCTCCTTTGGTCTTCCATCAACTCTTGAAAATACAACGAAGGAAAAAAATCTTGCCCCATATATATATAATGAGAAGGTACGGCGACCCCTGGGAGGATGATTTACTCATATGACGTTTCACACTCGTGCTCGAGCACATCATCGGAAATAGACAAAAAGGTAAATACATAATTTAATTAGGTCTTTCCCGTTCACTTTTCATTGGTTCGGTTTTTGTTTCTTTTTGATTGGTCCTGTTGCCTTGTCCAATAGCTGCCTGACGGCCTCGTACTGCACTGGCAGTTCGATTCTTCTGTTAATCGCAT